TTAGAGGTTTTTGCCTTCAGGTGTGTGCACTTCCCAGAGAGAGGGAGAGACAGAGACAGTGAGAAGGAAAATGAGAAATCACCTGCCAGGAGGGGTGGCCACACCACAATCCTTTCTCCTCCATTCTCCTCCTAGGATCTTGGGCGTGCATGCACGTATGCCCAGCATGAGTTTCAAGCCACCAGGTCCAAGACTTGAACCACAGTCAGCCATGTGGAAGTCCAACAACGAAACCACTATGCCATCTGCTGGCCCCTGCTTTATGTATTTTAAAGCTTTGGTATTGTATGCACAGACCTATAAGGTTATCACATCTTCTTAATGAATAGATATCTTTATCATTAAGATATTTCTCTTTATTCCTAGTATTATTTTTTGTTCTGAGGTCTTCATTTTTATATACTGACAATTATGTCTCTTAATAACAGTGTGTATGTCATTTATATCTAGTATAATTACTAATCTGAACGGGTTTAAGTCTACCATCTGTGTATTTGTTTTCTATATTACCCATGTTTCCTCCTCCTTTGTTTTGTGCTGTTGGGTTGAGATTTTAAAAGCAATGATATCTTCAATATTGACTCAGTTGCTACATTTTTAATGGCTTCTCTAGGGTGTATGATCTACATAACTGACTTACCACAGTCTATCTTAAAATACAACCTCGTATCTCCATCCCCACCCTCCACCCCTGCCTTTGTGTTACTGCCACCATACATTCTACATGTTAAAAACCCTACAGTGGTTTTTGGCTTTTTGTTTTGTTTTGACTTTCTATAGTTCTTTTTAAAAGAAATTAAGCAATGAGGGAAAAATCCAGTGTGCTTAATTCTTTCTGTAGACCAAATATACATCTGGCATCATTTTTCTTCCACCTGAAAAAAGAAAATATTTTTTTGGAGAGGTTTTTGCTATAGGGCATGTGCACTGGCCAGAAAGACAGAGAGAGACAGAGAGACAGAAAGCGAGAAATCATCCCCCCGGGGGGGGGGGGATGTCCATGCAGCAATCCCTTCTCCTCCATTCTCCTCTTGGGATTTTGGGTACACCCACACATGTGCCTGGCGTGACTCGAACCATGGTAAACTACATGGGAGTCCAGGGACATAGCCTTTACGCCAACTGCTGGTCCCAATATTTAAAAAAAAATTTTTTTTAATTACATTTTGCTGTGTCACAATCCTCCTGCCTCAGCCTCCCAGGTAGCTAGGACTACAGGTACATGCCACAGCACCTGGATTTTAGGGTGGGCTGGAAAATGAACACGGTCCCCAAGGCCAGGTAACCTGAGCCTGCCAAGCAGCAGTGTTAGCTGGTACAAGCTACAAAGCTGGGCCTAAAGATTTTTCTTTCAACATTTTAGATGGTGCGATTTTAAGGTAATGATTTATCTTAGATTTATTTTATGTTAAATTGTCTTTGTTTTATCTTCATTTTTTTTTTTTTGAGAGGTTTTCACTATAGGGCACGTGTGCTCGCCAGACAGACAGAGAGAGACAGAGAGACAGAAAGCGAGAAATCACCCCCCAGGGAGGATGGTCACGCCGCAATCCCTTCTCCTCCATTCTCCTCTCAGGATCTTGGGCACGCACACACAGGCGCCTGGTGTGAGTTTTAAGCCGCCGGGTCTGGGACACGAACCGCGGTCAACTACGTAGGAGTCCAGCGACACAGCCATTACACTAACTGCTGGTCCCTATCTTCACTTTTGAAGGATAATTTTACATAAAATTCTAGGATGACTTTTTTCCTTCAGTACTTTAAAGATATCATTTTACTGTTTTCTGGTTTGTATGGTATCTAACAATGAATCTATGGTATTTCTTACTTTTTATTCTCAATACATAATGTATGCTTTTTTCCTCTGGATGTTATTACAATTCTCTCTCAGTGGTTTTTAAGAATGTGATTAAGATGTGTCTTGAGATGGTTTTCTTTTTGTTTTTGTCTGCTTGGGCTCCACATAACTTCTTGGTTCTTTGGGTTTATAATTTTCATCAAGTTTAGAAAAATAATGTTAGTTATTATTCCTTCAAATTTTTTTCCTGTTCTCCCTCTCCTCCTCTTCTGGGACTGCTGTTCCATAAACACGGCAGTGCTGGATATGGCCCTGCAGTGCGGGGCATAGCTTGGATTTCCCTCTAGGTTCAGTTAGCTGACAGCCCATACTTTAGTGCCCTGGGATCTGCCTCAGGTTGCGAACCAAGTATGCTCTTCTTGGGCAGCCCTAAAGCATTCATTAAGTTGGTTAACTTTATAAGAGATGCATGGCAGTCAGAGGCTAGCTAGACTCAATAGTGCTTCTGCTGACCAACTCTTCTCTTTCACCAGCATCACATCTGCACTGTGGCCTGAAGGCTCTCTCTCTCTTTTTTATTTTTATTTTTTTCGGTCTGAAAACAGCCACTGTTTATTTACTGACCAGATCACAAAAATAGTCATGGTGGATGCCTTAGCCTAAGTTCATCCTTCTAGTAAGTCTGTTGACCTGGTCTTCCCTGTTGCCAGCATCTCTACCTTCTACAAAATGGGTGGTCTTATTCTTCATTCCACCTCATTGAGAAATAATTTGAAGGGCCACAGGAAGTTATTTTCTTCTTTGAAGCATTTCCCAGCAGTATAGATTTCATGAATCAGATCCTCCATGTACATGATGCCAAATTTACCAAGAGATTGTGCAATCAAAGAGCTATCTGTCAAAGCAATTCGCTTCTTATTGATTTTGCCATAGCCACACTTACAGATCAGGATCAGTTAATTTACTGACTTCAGATTCGGGTTCCCCCATGCAATATATGATTCCACAAGTCTCAGCATGTTACTGAGGGTTTATTGAGCTTAACAAACGTGCCACTGAAGATCTGGTGAAGATGAAGAAGCTGCAACACCTTTTGAACCTTTGAGCTCACTCCATTGACATCTCTGATCCTGATGACAAATGCCAATTTGGGTTCTGCAGGTACATAGAAGTCGCCAGCTTTTCTTGATATCCTGGCCATGCGAATCTCAGGTCTGTACATCTATCTATATTCATTATGATAGTGCTTGGCTTTTTTTAAAGAATTATTTTATTCATTCTTTCATTTATTTTAATTTGACCAGAGAGAGACACACAGAGATAAAGAAGAAAGTGAGAAAGCAAGCCACCAGATCCAGGACTTGAACCATGGTCGGCCATGTGGGAGTGTCCAGCGCCTTAACCACCATGCCACCTGCAGCCCCTGTGCTTGGTTTTTTCATAGATAAGCTTCCTCCTTGCCTTTCAAAGCATCTTTTCAGCAAACTTTTTCTCATGCACTTGATGTTCAGCTCCACAAAATTCCTTCACTTTTTCTTAAGGGTTTCTGGCACAACAGGAACCCTTTTCTCGGTGGCTTCCACCACAGCAGGAGCCTTTTTCTTGGTTTCCGTCACAGCAGGAACCTTCTTTTTCTTCTCTTGAATGTCCTCCATGGTTCCAGCTGGAAAAGAGGAAGGTCTACAAGCTCTTAATCCTGCAACTTCCCCTTTAGTTTTTCCCAGGCATTATTGCCTAATGAACCTGTTACACTCTCAGCATCTTCTTCTCAGAAGTCCCCACCAACAGCTTTTGGATTCTAAGCAGCCAGTAAAAAGAGGTTTGGGGAATGGATTACTCATCACCCAGCTGCAAGTTAGGACCAATCCTATGAGTATATAAGGCAAAGATCATCCCTAGTACAAAAGTGTAGACCAGACACTAATCCCCTGCAGTGATTTTCAAAATATGATCTTAAACGTGTTGTACTAGTATTTCATTGAGGATTATTGCATTTACATTCATAAGAGTTTATTGTTTTGCTTTTATTTTTGCTTCATGTTTTTTGTTTTGTTTTGATATCTTCATCTGTTTTGTTTTGATATCTTCATTTGAAAACTGACTTCATAGAAAGAGTTGGGAAGTGCTCATTTCTGTCTTGGTTGTAGTTGCTATAACAAAATGCCAAACACTAGATAGCTTAAACATCAATTACTTCCCACAGTTATGGACTCTGGGACACCTGAGATCAGGGTGCCAACATGGCAGGGCTCTGCTGAGGGCTTTCTTCCTGGCTTACGCATGGTGTCTTCTCACTATATCCTCGCATGGTAGAGAGAGGAAAGAAACTCCGGTGTCGCCTCTTCTTCTAAGGGTACTAATTTCCTCATGGGGTGCTACCTTGATGACCTCATCTTAACTTAATTACCTTCCCAAGGCCCTACCTTCTAATAATGTCATTGGGGGGGGGTTAGAGTTTCGATGTATGACTCGGAGAGAGACTCAAATATTCAATACATAACATCTTTTATCCAGTTTTTGGAAGAATTTGTAAAGAATTGGTATGTCTTCTTTAAAGTATTAAGGAATTCACTAATAGATTCTGAAGTCATCTGAATGTTTTTCTTAGCTGGAATTTTTGGAGGCACCATATTGATTTCATAGTTGCTATAAGTTCTTCCAGATATTCTATTTCTTAGGTCATTTGCCAGAACACTACCGAGTGAGACATAGAAACAGGGAGGGAGAACTCCCCAATGGGGCATGGTCACACTATAATTCCTACTCCTGCATTTCTACATTCTGCTGGAATTTTGGGAACACATACATTACATGCCAACATGTTTTTCAAACCAACAGAGCCAGGACTCAAACTACAGTCAGCCATGTGGTACCTGGCTCCCTTAACCACTTGGCTATGGTTAAGGCCATGGCTCTTAAGTCATTTTTCATAGTTGTCTTTCTAGAACTTTGTCCATTTTACATGGGTTATTTAATTACTTGGCACAGTATTTCCTTATATTTATTCTTATTCTATAAAGTTCACTCTCATTCTTTTTTTAGTAGTTTACTACTTTTTTCTTAACCAGTATACCTAAAGATGATCAATTTTTCTGAAATTAAAAAAAAAAATTATTTGATGAAAGTGTATGTCCTCACTGAAGAGGGACAGAGGGAGAGAAAGGGAGAGATAGAGAGAGAGAGAGAGAGAGAAAACACTCACCATGGAGGATGGTCATACCAGTCCTCTCTCCTCCATTTCTCCTTTGGCGATTTTAGACCTGCAGGCACACACAAAAACAAGCAGGCATGGTTTTGAAGCTGTCGGGTCCAGGACACGAACTGCACAGTCAGCTATTTGGTCCAGTTGCCTTAACCAGCACACCACTGTCTGGCCCACTGTAGAGAATAAAAGTGGGAAATTTTTAGTCATTATTTCTTTAAATACTTTTTTTAAAAAACACCTTTATTACATTTATAGTACATTAATGGTGTTCCACATTTCTCTAAAGGTAGATATAGAAATAGATATAATTCACATACCACATAATAACTCACTCATGTAGACAACTCAGCAGTTTCCAATAAGTTCAAAGAGTTGTATAACCACCAAAATTTTAGGGAATTTTTTTTTTGAAAGGTTTTCGCTATAGGGCACGTGCGCTCGCCAGACAGACAGAGAGAGACAGAGAGACAGAAAGCGAGAAATCACCCCCCAGGGGGGATGGTCACGTCGCAATCCCTTCTCCTCCATTCTCCTCTCGGGATCTTGGGCATGCACTCACACGCGCCTGGCGTGAGTTTCAAGCCACCGGGTCCGGGACGCGAACTACGGTCGACTACATGGGAGTCCAGCGACATAGCCATTATGCTAACTGCTAGTTCCCAGGAATTTTTATCAATGAACAAAATAACTGTCCAGTAGCAGTCCCTCTGTATTTCCTTTCAGTACCCTCAGCTCTAGGCAACCATGACTAAACTGCAGTCATGTGCCACATGGTGTTTTGGTCAATGACAGACACATATACGACAATGGAGCAAAAGGCTATACTGTAAAATCTCTTTGTATAGTAGGCTATACCATTTAAATTTGTGTAAGTTCACTCTCTGATCTTCAGACAATCATGAAATGACTTAACAATTCATTTCTTAGAACATTATCTCTGTTGTTAAGTGATGAAAGACTGTATTTTTAGTTTCTACAAATTTGCCTGTTCTAGACACTTCATATAAATGAACTCATATATGGCCTTTTGTGACTGGCTTCTTTCACTTAGCCTAATGTTTTTAACATTCATACATGCCGTAGCATAAATTAATACTTTGTTCATTTTTATGATTTAATAATATGCAATTGTATGGACATACCACATTTATGGATTTTGGGTTATTTACCCTTTAGAGCTACTGTGAATAATGCTGCTATGAACTTCCTTGTACAATTTCTGTCTGTATATCTGTTTTCAATCTGGTGGTTCTATATCTAGGAGTAGAATCTCTGGGTCATCTGGTAATAAGGTTAAAGTTCTTTAATCCAATAAGGAAATTTCATACTAATTTCCAAAATGGCTGTATCAATTTACATTCCTACCAGCAGTGTATCAGATTTTCACATTCTCCCTGGCCTCGTCAATATTTGTTTTATCTGTCTTTTGGATTACAGTCATCCAAGATAGTGTAAAATGGTTCTTGTGGTTTTGACTTGTGTTTTCCTAATGAATGATGATGCTGAGCATCTTTTCATGTGCTTATTGGCTATTTGCATATTTTCTTTGTAGAATTCTGATACTGCCCGTTTTTAAAATATGGTTGCATCACTTTTGTTAATAAGTTGGAAAGGTTCCGTTTTCTAAATGAAAATCCATTATCAGATATATGTTTTACACTTCTCATTCCATGAGTTGTCTTTTCACTTTCTTGCTGTTCCATTGAACAAAAATGATTCTAATTTTGCTGAAGTCAAATTTATCTATATTGCAATATCAGTGAAAATAGCAGCAAGAATTCTGAAATTCTGTCCCAATATAAAAACAATGAAAAGTATGGCAAAAACTGTCAATTAACTTTTTGGAACTTTGAAAACTAATCAGGCTCAGGAAATGTTTATTTTTTAAAAAATGGCTGAACATCAATCTTTGTAGCATTCTAAGTTACTATAGTCCCATTCCCTACTCCTTGCTTCAGTGTGGGTAGCCATGAAAATAATAGCCACCATTCTCAGTACCACAGGGAACACAACAGACCTCATTTACAAAGAACTTATTATTTTAACCTATCCATTGGATCCCAAGAAGACTGACTTCGAAGACTTGTCTTTATTTTGCCTGAAGTGAAGCTGGTCCAGAGCTATAGCTACTACCTAGGAGCAGTGTTTAAAACATTAACAGGCATATGTTTTAGTTCCTGCTGCCTGAGGTGATAGATGACATTCAAAGAAAGCAACACAAACTGAGAGGAAAGGCTGGGGAACAAGATATTCATAAGAGCTTTATAAAGATTTTAACATCTTCCTGTAATCTAGAAGGGCACACTTAGCCTAGGGCTGTGTGTGTACTCAGGAAAGACCTGGAAAGGCCCTGAAGTTTCACCTATGGCTGATCTAGAGGCTGTGGCAAAGCAGAAAGTGAAGGATGAGACAAAGCTGTAAACTTCCTGGCTGAATATCAAAGGAATATCACAAAAACACACAAATCTCTTAGCAAACACAGGAAGATTCTTCATTCTGGGTGTTTAGGTATATGTCTAGTTATTAGCTGAATATTAAGGTCACAAAGTAGAGACTTTAGTGACCACAAAAAAACAAAGAATACAGACATTATAAATTTAGTTCAAAAGTCCCTAAACAAACAAACCAGTACAAAATTAGCAAGAGATGGAGGAGAGTCAGATTTTCAGACTTGTCATAGTCTAATATTTAAAATATCATATTTTACAACTACAGCAACAAAATATAAGGTATGCAAAAAGGAAAATATGGAGATGACCAGCTCATCAGTAGAAACAGCCCCTAAGGTATACCAGGCATTAGACTTTCTTTTTTAAAGAATTATTTTATTTTATTTAACATTATTTATTTATTTTATTTTAAAATCTGACCAGATAGGGGCAGAGTGAGAGAGAAAGCGAGAAAGCAAGCCGCCAGGTCTGGGACTCAAACCACAGTTGGCCATGTGGGAGTCTAGTGCCCTTAACCACCACACCACTTGCCAGCCCCCAAGCATTAGACTTTTTAAACAAAGATTTTAATTTAGTTATTTTAAACATGTTCAAAGAGCTAAAATAAACCATGTCTAAATAACTAAAGGAAAGTAAGAGGATGATGTCTCAACTAGAGAATATCAATAAAGAGACAGAAATTATAAAAAAGAATCAAGATGAAATTCTACAATTGAAAATCAGAATAAGTGAATAAAAATTCATTTGCAGGGCTCAGCAGATTTGGGCATGCAGAAGAAAGAATATGTGAACTTAAAGATAGGTCATTTGACATTATGCAGCCTGAGGAACAGAAAACAAAACAAAATGAAGAGAAACGAACAGAGCCTAAAAGGTATGTGGAGCACCACAAAAAATACCAGTAAACACATAGTACATACTGTAAACCTCAGAAGGAGAGGAAATGAACAACAAACAAGCAAAAAAGTGAAAACACCAGAAAGAATATTTGAATAATGGCTAAAAACTTTCCAAATTTGATGAAAAACATGATTATCCTATGAAATTCCAGAACCTCCAAATAGGATAAACTCAAATATACACTTAGACATATAATAATCAAACTGTTGAAAGGGAAAGACACAGAATCTTGAAAGATCCAAGAGAAAATCAAGTCCTTACATATTCACACAAGGGGTTCTCAATAAGATTGACAGCTGGTTTCTCACAGAAACCATGGAGGCCAGAGGCAATGGGATGACATATCCAAAGTGCTAAATGAAAACAAAACAAAACAAAACAAAACACTGTCAGCCAAGAATTCCATATACAGCAAACTATACAAAGAACCAAAGAGAAAGGTGCTAAAGGGAGTCCTTTGGGCTGAAGTGAAAGGGCACTAGACAGAAATTCAAACCCATATGAATGAATTTTTTAAAACCAGTAAATGCAAATATAACCCAGCACAAGTAAATATGAGCCAATGTAAATGTGATTTTCTTACTTGTTTTTTCCTTCTAACTGATTTTAAAAGACATCTGCACAAGGCAATAATAAGTCAATGCTGATGTGCTCACAATTTATTAAGATGTAATATGTGACAGACAATACAGCATGGGGGAATAAACCTATAGAAGAGCAAAGTTTTTTTTCCTAATAATTTATTTATTTTTATGTTTTCCCACAAACATTTACTTTATATATCAAAAATATTTTGCTCAAACTCCATAGTTCTTGACAATTAATAGACAACTTTCAAAATTTCAAAAAACTGAATTTTAAAGATAATGTTAAAAATATTTGTTATAATCTTGTTTGTGACTCTATAGCAGAGACAGTATGGTTTTAAATATTTTTGAGAAAATGTTTACATGTCAACTACTCAAACTGTTGAAAAGCAAACACCTGGCACACAATTCTCACATAAACTTTCTCAGTTCAGCCTTGCCTACCAAGTATTCTGTGATATACCATCTGCTAGCAAAGGTCTCTTTTTCTTCCTTCAAAGTTTTCCTCAAAATAATCCTCTGGTTGGGAACCAGCAGTTAGCATAATGGCTATGTCGCTGGACTCCCACGTAGTCGACCGCGGTTCGTGTCCCGGACCCGGTGGCTTAAAACTCACGCCGGGTGCATGTGCGTGCGTGCCCAAGATCCCGAGAGGAGAATGGAGGAGAAGGGATTAAAGCAAACACCCAGCACACAATTCATCCATGAACCTTCCCAGCTCAGCTCTGCCTACCAAGTATTCTGTGGTTTACCATCTGCTAGCAAGGATCAGTCTCTTTTTCTTCCTTCAAAGTCTTCCTCAAGGTAATCCTCTGGCTGTGGTTGCTCTTTTAAAATCTCTGTTGATTACAATGCTGGACTGGAAAAGTCCAGGTTATTTTATGGTACGAATTCTTTCATATGGCTTCTCTAATCCTCTCTGCCAGGCAGAACTGTTTATGGTGCCAGGCCATCTTTTCAAGAGTTTCTGTTGGCTTACTTGAGATTTACCTTAGTTCCACAGTTTTCTGGTTTAATCTTCAGATAATGACATTCTAGTTAAATCCCTGTCCAATGAGTATTTCCAATTTCTGATTCACGGCCACAGGTACGTGAATAACCATTCTGCCACAAAACAAAAATACTCCCAAATATTTTCCAATTCCAGTGAGGTTAGGAAGTGAGAAAAGTTTATGTTTCCATTTAAAGAAACAAACAAGAAGAAAAAACATTTTAACAAATTGCTACACCTATCAAAAGTTCGGAAGAAAGAAAAATCCTTAAATTGGGAAAACAAAGCATAGTAAACAAAATCAGTAATGTTTTACACAAAAATCATAAAATTCTACTTTACCAGTTCAATCTTACATAATTAATCTTCCTTCTGTTGAACTTGCAATGTTACTGTGG